GGGCTGGGTAGCTCTAGCCAGGCTCCCAGACACCGTGTAAGTGGCGTCAACGGAACTACAGGTGTACCCGCAGTGGGGCAGCGCGGAAGAACGCAGGGACCCAGCCGAGGCCGGTCCGAGGCAGGGTCTGGGTGTGTGTAACTCTGACCTGCATTTGAGCAGAGGGTGCGTGGGTAGTCCGTTGGTTCGTCCTCCCGATCCGCCCAATAGAAGAAATTGCTCTTTTGTCGAGTATTTGGGTACCGCTGCGTGGGCGACGAGCGGGCTGAGGTGCTGCCACCGGCGGCCGGGTGGAGGCAGCAGCTGCACGCCGGGGCAGAATGTACCTGATGGCCTCAGTCTGCTTTTGGGCAGCGGAGAACTGCTGGGCGAAGTTCTCCACTGTGTCGCCGAAAAGGCCGGTCTGGGACACGGGGGCGTTCAAGAATCTTGTCTTGTCCGTCTCACGCATGTCGGCCAGACACAGCCAGAGATGGCACTCCTGGACCACCATAGTGGACATCGCACGACCCAGAAACCGCGCCGTAACCTTCGTCGCTCGTAGCCACCCTCGTGCAAGTCCCCCAGTGCCTTAGCCTGGTGCACTTGCAATAACGCCGAAGCGTGTAAGGCGGACGCAGCTTCTCCACAGGCCATATAAGCACTGCCGATCAAGGCCGACGAGTGCCTACAGGCCCGTGAGGGGAGCAACGGCTTTAAATACACATGACATGACGAGGGGATGACGAGAAACACCTGGGAGCAATAAACATAATTGCACATGAGGGAAAACTGAGTCATGGAACACAAGACACAGGACTGACAACAATCCCAATTTCGTCGGTCATCCGACGTGACGTCGAGAGTGACTGACTGAAAGGCAACTAGGAACACACACGTAGCGGGGAATGACGATATTCAATACCGGACGAAGAACTCAGAACAGAAAACACTTTAAATACACATGACATGACGAGGGGATGACGAGAAACACCTGGGAGCAATAAACATAATTGCACATGAGGGAAAACTGAGTCATGGAACACAAGACACAGGACTGACAACAATCCCAATTTCGTCGGTCATCCGACGTGACGTCGAGAGTGACTGACTGAAAGGCAACTAGGAACACACACGTAGCGGGGAATGACGATATTCAATACCGGACGAAGAACTCAGAACAGAAAACACTTTAAATACACATGACATGACGAGGGGATGACGAGAAACACCTGGGAGCAATAAACATAATTGCACATGAGGGAAAACTGAGTCATGGAACACAAGACACAGGACTGACAACAATCCCAATTTCGTCGGTCATCCGACGTGACGTCGAGAGTGACTGACTGAAAGGCAACTAGGAACACACACGTAGCGGGGAATGACGATATTCAATACCGGACGAAGAACTCAGAACAGAAAACACTTTAAATACACATGACATGACGAGGGGATGACGAGAAACACCTGGGAGCAATAAACATAATTGCACATGAGGGAAAACTGGGACATGGAATACGTGGGGAGCAAAACTCAAGACACAGGACTGACATTACCCCCCCTCCCGGAAGGCGCATCCATGCACCCCACAACATCCAACGGGGAGAGGGGGTGGGCGCTATGGAGGCCCCTCAGGACAGACACGGGACGGCAGGCCTCCAGAGCGGTACCCATTCCGGGACCTTTGGTGGATCAGGCAGTTCGGGGCACCATGGCGGAGCAGGCAGACTAGGAAGCCATGGTGGATCAGGCAGTTCGGGGTGCCATGGAGGAACAGAGAGCTCAGGGAGCCATGGCGGAGCAGACAGTTCAGGAGGTCATGGCGGAACAGGGAGCTCGGGGCGCCATGGTGGAGCAGGCAGACTGGGAAGCCATGGCGGAGCAGGCAGTTCAGGAGGCCATGGCGGAGTAGGGAACTGTGGAGGCCATGGCCGGACGGCCTCCGTGGCCTCGCCACTCGGCCCGGCCACTATGGACGAACCCATACCATTTATCAAATGGTTTCTAGGGTGGTCTAAATGGCTGCTAGAGCATGACTAAACAGTTTCCACCATGGTAATTAAGCCATGGCGGAGCAGACCTATACCCAAACAAAAATACTTGGGGAAAATATCAATCGCTAAGGCCCTCCGTGGGCCTGACTCGGGAACTGGAGACCTCATTAGGCTGGACGTGGAAACTGGAACCCTCTCTGGGCTAAACTCAGGGACAGGAACCCTATCTAGGCTAAACTCGGGGACGGGAGCCCTCTCTGGGATAAACTCGGGGACAGAAGCCCTCATTGGGCTAAACTCTGGGACTGGAGCGACACTGGAGCTGACTCAGGGGCTCGAGCCGACACTGGAACTGACTCAGGGGCTGGAGCCGACACTGGAGCTGGCTCAGGGGCGAGGATGAGGGCTGAGAACAGTCTTTTCCTCCTCACCCTCCTCCTTTGATTAAGGGTGAACGGCGCGGCCGGCGGACTTGACAACGGAGCGGCCGGCGGGCTTGACAATGGAGCGGCCGGCAGGCTTGACTGTGGTACAGTGAGCAGCGGGATTCCGGATCGGGATCGGAGACTCTCCAGACACCGGATGACCGCCTCCTTCCAATCGAGGTTGGTGGTGTCTGGGAGTTCCGTTGGCTGATGGTAAGTGATCCCGAGCCGGAACAGCGTCACAAGGGTCTCTCCATCGAGGGAGCTGGCAAGGGCGAGCAGCACGACTACCCTCGCATAGGTGAGCAGCACGACTGCGTGAGCGATGAACATGGCTCATTCATCCATGTTTGCTGGTCCGGTATTCTGTCACGTTACCGCTACTGTGATGAGCAAGGAACGTGGAGTAGACTTCAAACAAGGAGACTTTAATGAACATCCAATGGAACTAGGAACACACACTAGGATACACAAAGGAAACACTTTAAATACACATGACAAAGTGAGGGGATGACGAGAAACACCTGGGAGCAATAAACATAATTGCACATGAGGGAAAACTGAGTCATGGAACACAAGACACAGGACTGACAACAACAAGTGTAGTAGGCTAATTTAGGTGAAAATACTGTGAAATTAGAAATGGCATTAAATTTGAAAGCATAACAACTGAAGGTATATGAAACATCAGTCAATAAAGCATATTTTTAAGCATTTTTTACAATATAGGCACTTAAAGTTTTGAATTAAAATATTATTTCAACCATATAGCCTGTGAATAAATGAAAATGCATACTTTTCAATGAAAGAAAACTTGGAGAGTGTGGGCTGCTTCTGGTGCTTCGATTTGTATGTCAATATAATGAGGTCCAAGTTTAAGAATACACAAAGTTTTTTTTTATGTATTTACATTACTAACAATGAAATACGTCTTCCTTTAGGTAGATTGAATGTTTTCCTTGCTAAATGTTCGGCTCATGATCAATAAGTTGCATTCGCCCAAACTGATCTGATGGGCTGTGAGAAAATAATAAATAAAAAGAGTGGGCCTGCTGGGAGTGCAGGCAGCCTAGGGACAGCATATTTCAACCCAGTGGCATGACAACACACTGGCCCTAGCGGCCAAAAAACAGACCGACCCACCGGGAATCCTCCCAGTGCCCCCGATTAGCCAATCCGGGCCTGCTCCTGGAGGACAGTCAGGGCAGTGAGTGTGCTGTAAGATGCTTGGGGTTAAATCATCTTCTACAGTAGACACTGAATCCACTCTTCAAAATGTACGAATGCCACTGCATTAGATTACAATAAATGATACAACTATTCAAAATGAAGACTGTTAATGGAAAGTTAGTGGAATATGTCCATAGTTGAAGTAATGTTGTCATTTTACCACTCATAATATCCAATAGATGATCAGTATATTCATGCATACATTTTATTGCAGCAACTTCATGGCAACAGCATTCATTTCACTGACGGCTATGAGTTGAAGGAGGATATCGGCATTGGAGCGTATTCGGTCTGCAAACGTTGTGTCCACAGAATCACCAGTGTGGAGTATGCTGTCAAAGTAAGTATGAAATCTAATCTTTGAAAGCACTAGGTTCCATTAAATGCTCTTTGTGTGACAAAACACAGTGTTATTTTAGTGAACAGCAGAGGTACTGGCGGTTTCATATGAGCATTTTGATGAACTGCCGTAGAGGACAGCATCACTCAGTGTCAGTCGAGGCTTTATCAGACAACGCTGTGACCAGCCCACTTCATTTCAGATCATTGACAGAGCCAAGAAGGACCCGTCTGAAGAGATCGAGATTCTTCTGCGATACGGCCAGCACCCAAACATCATTACTCTGAAGGATGTGAGTCACACTTTGAAAGAAATGCTACTTTAGTTCAATGGAAACCCCTTACTAGGCCATGCAAATTTTGACTATTTAATCTGTGCCCATGATTTTGTGTTCTGTATTTAGAGTTATGAACACAAAACTGTATTCATGGATTTTAACTATTCGTAACTTTTCTGTATAAATAGGCAGAAAATATCTGTTATTTTATTTTGAAGATAAAATTGTTAAATTAGTTAATAGAGGTTTCCTATTTACAATTTCATAAAGTGTAGTTTTCAATAATACATTTATATTTCACCCATACATATGTTTATTAAAACTTAAATTTTATGAACTATAGTAAGAGACAATTTCCTAGAATGCTTTAATTTGCTTAATATATTATAGTCAGAAGAAGTTAGTATTCATTTTGATGAAGTTAAGTCTGAATTTGTTGTGAGTAGCTTGGACAAAACTTAGCTTAGAGAAATGCCTAATCAAAAAAAAAAGTAAGTAAAAAAAGTATTCTTCATATCAGGGAATAAATAGACATAGTCCAAATTAAAATGATTTTCTTACTTAGTATTTTTTTACTAGTTTTCTAGTACAAATATCTAAACATTCTTGAATCTACTTCAGAAGCAAAATGACTAGTTTTACGAAAATATTAATCAATATTTTGTTAGTTTTTGCTTAAAACAAGAAAAAAATCTGCAGATATTGTTTTCTTGCTTTAAGCAAAACTTTTTTGCTTCTCAAGTAAATGTATCTTGATGCATTAGGTAGGAATGTTTAGATATTTGTAATGGAAAAGACAAAAATTTGCACTGATAGCTAATGATCTAATGAAACTGTTCTGTTGTGTGTTAAAATTCCTCAAATTCAGTTTCAAATTCCCTTCCTGTCATTCCAGTTTAACTTCCTGTGTGTTGTAGTCAATTCCATTTTAAATTCTTGGATCGAAAAAAGGAGTTTTCAAAAACTACAATGAACGACTCGTTTGGACTACAACGCATATTTTCCGGGATTTGTGATATCACAAATACCGACGAATGGGACGAGACCTGGTTGAGCTGCACTAGAGAAGACAGCGAGTGTTATCACTATGTCGGCGACACGCTAGCTTTCCCAAGGCTGATGAACTTAGAGTGGTTACAATCATCCAAGTTTAAATCGCACTCTAATTTATTTGATTTTGATGCAATATTTACACTGAAGCTCGCAAGCGGCTATGGTAAGGGGCATGACATTTCCCGACCAGGCGCCGACCGCCGAGTGGTGCCAATCACAACACTCACTGGCCCAGCTAACCAATCACAGCACACACTGGCCCAGCTAACCAATCACAGCACCCACTGGCCCAGCTAACCAATCACAACACACACTGACCCAGCTAACCAATCACAACACTCACTGGCCCAGCTAACCAATCACAGCACACACTGGCCCAGCTAACCAATCACAGCACCCACTGGCCCAGCTAACCAATCACAACACACACTGACCCAGCTAACCAATCACAACACTCACTGGCCCAGCTAACCAATCACAGCACACACTGGCCCAGCTAACCAATCACAGCACCCACTGGCCCAGCTAACCAATCACAACACACACTGACCCAGCTAACCAATCACAACACTCACTGGCCCAGCTAACCAATCACAGCACACACTGGCCCAGCTAACCAATCACAGCACCCACTGGCCCAGCTAACCAATCACAACACACACTGACCCAGCTAACCAATCACAACACTCACTGGCCCAGCTAACCAATCACAGCACACACTGGCCCAGCTAACCAATCACAGCACCCACTGGCCCAGCTAACCAATCACAACACACACTGGCCCAGCTAACCAATCACAGCACATTTCGTATTTCAGAAGGCGGGCCTTCATTTGATACAGGAACTATTCGAGCCATTCATGCCAGACTGGGGAGAAAGGGTTTTGTAATCATGTAAAATATGTGGAAAATAATGTGTTTTTCGAACAACCTAGTATGAAAGCCTGTTCTAGTACACCTCCAAAACAAAATCAAGACTTTGTAAAAGAGCATAATAGGACCCCTTTAATGTTTTTAAGGCCTTTATCTCAGCTGTCTTATCATGTTAACCTGCATTACTGTTGATCCAGTTTCACAAGTTGTCTTCTGGTTGCGTAAAGCCTCCTGGGCTCCCTCTGGTCTGCTGATGTCTGTGATTGAAAGCTGCATCACAGCAGTGTGATGGAGAGAGTGAGCTGAGCTGTACTGTGCTGTGTGCTGCAGGTCTATGACGACGGCAAGTTCGTGTATCTGGTGATGGAGCTGATGAGAGGAGGAGAGCTGCTGGACAGGATCCTGCGGCAGAAGTGCTTCTCAGAGCGCGAGGCCTCAGCTGTGCTCTGCACCATTACCAAGACTGTGGAGTATCTGCATTCACAGGGGGTCAGTTTGCATGTGGTCACAGTGGGGACGCTACAGACAATACTTACTTGTTTGGTTGCTACTGATGATAGAAGTGCCATAACGTTCTAATACAGCAAATTACACAGATTTTAGTCACTTTGTGAACTGAATTGCTTCTTCATCTGTGTCCAGGTTGTGCATCGAGACTTGAAGCCCAGTAACATGCTGTATGTCGATGAAACAGGCGACCCAGAGTCCATTAGAATATGTGATTTTGGGTTTGCCAAACAGTTAAGGGCTGAAAATGGTCTGCTCATGACACCGTGCTACACTGCAAACTTTGTGGCCCCTGAGGTACTTTTAGATACATTTTCTTTTCTGTTCAGTGTTATGATTTATTCATCTCGTTTGTAAAACATGTCATACAAATGTAAAATTATTTAAAATAACAATTGCTCCTAAAAATTAATGCTGTTTAAAAGTCTACTTAAAGATAACCAAACTATATTGCTTGTTTTATCAAAAGTTTAAATCTTTAAATGCAACTCATCCAATCAGAATTAGAACTAAGGGTTAAAACCATAGACTGTAAAAAAAGATGGACGACGCGTCTCCTATTCCTTCCACTATAAAAAAGTGAAGCCAAAGCATCTCAGTATGGCCGCTGCCATCTTGAGTAAATTACGCCATTTGGAGCCCAAGTCTGCGCAGTAAAGATTCATTTGGTGCCAGAGTCTGTGCAGTAGAGATTCGTTTGGTGCCAGAGTCTGCGCAGAAGAGATTCATTTGGTGCCAGAGTCTGCGCAGTAGAGATTTGTTTGGTGCCAGAGTCTGCGCAGTAGAGTTGCGAGGTGGAGCCGCGGAATCAAACTCCCGCAGACCCAATCAAGCATAACAACACGCCCCATTTTTATAGCATCAAATTACTAGGTAAAATCAAACTTATCACAGAAACGAACAATTGAACATATATCAGCGTGATAACAACTACCTTTAATGACCAAAACCATCTTTCGGAAAATTGTATTGGAAGTGTCATTTATTTTTTTATTTTGACTCAAGTCCCATTCGTTTACATGGAGAGGGCGGGGTTTATGACCTGTACTGCAGACAGCCACCAGGGGGCGATTAAAGACCCCGCAGCTTCACTTTTCAGGACGTGTGAGGCACACCCGGTTAAAACTAAGGGCCAGTTTTACTAAGCAGGGCAAATTAGCACGAGTGCACAATTGCAAAACAGCACCGATGGGTGTGGAAATTTCTGCGGGTGATTTACTAATAACGCGCAAATTAAAGAACACAGACGCAACATCTCATTTACATATCGACCAACACAATATACCAAGTGCAGCGCAAATTAGCATAGTCACAAATAAAGAATAAACAAATAAAGAAGCCACAGTACATTGAAAAGAACCTGAAGCCAAAAAATGAAGGTTTGCTAGAAGTTTTGGTGGAGCTGGTATTGCGTGACTCCTAGTTGAGGGTTCCAAGTCGTCTTTTATTTCCTGAAGCAAATTAAAAATAACATGGCTTGGCAAATGATATGTTCAGATAATGTGTTCTTCTGGCATTCAAAATAAATTAATACTTGTGGAAAAAATCCTCTCCCTTCTACCACGCGCTCCTCCTAGCAACAATAATTGCAGCCATTTCAAGTGCAAAATAGTTTAAGACATGCTTTTTTTTGGCGTTAAATAATGGCGCAAATGCCAGTAATTTGTCGAGCGCAAGTGTTAGTAAAACGCGTTGCGTGATTCATTTTAATACTCTCCTCCCATAACTTTTGCTTCTGAAAGGGAAACTCCTACAAATGCATATTCAATAAGGTCAGGTGCAAAAATAACGGTCCACGCCTTTTCAGCATTAATTCTTCACTGCGCGTCTTTAGTAAAACCTGACAGTACTATTTTAACAGCAAAAGACGGTTTGCGCTGGCGCAAGCTGTTAGTTAAACTGGCCCTAAGTCTTATAATAAATGTTCACACCTGTGATTCATTCAGGTCCTGAAGAAACAGGGATATGATGCTGCCTGCGATATCTGGAGCCTGGGAATCTTACTGTACACCATGCTGGCAGGGTAAGTTGATGTTTCATATTACATATACACTACCATTCAAAAGTTTGAGATCAGTAGGATTTAAGTATTGATTGATTGATTGATTTTTAATACAGCAATACAATACTTTTATTCTGGAAGGATGCATTCAATTTAACAAAAGAGACCATAAAGACTTTACTTCTCTTCGTTTTTTAAATTTCAGCATATAAGAATGATTTCTGAAGGAACACATGACATTGAAAACTGGAGTAATGGCCACTGAAAATTCAGCTTTGCCATCAAATAAATAAATAAATACCATTTAAAAAAATACTTTACTTAAACTGCAAAGGTAAAATATAAAATACATAACTAAACAAGCAACCAGTCGCCACTCGCACATAAGAAAAAAATCCTGATGGATCTAATTCATGTGTCACCATGCAACCATGCTGCAATGTTTTTTTCTTAATCTCAGTATGAACAGATTCTATTTGTTGCTTTAAATGAACTGACAGTATTCATCTAGGTATGCACTGTTTCTGCCATCAATCTGCCCACATGACCCAAGAGTCCTGTCTTCATTTTCTATGACATTACGAATGACCTGTCAAAACAAACAAATCAGAATGCTATGTAGCACATCCTTTCTCCCATTGCCCAGATGAGGGACTAATTTCTAGAGCAGGGTGGAGGGGATTACTAGGTACATAAGCCGGGTCAAGTCACAGAGTAATTGTACTGAACACAATGCCAGAGCTATCAGAATCCAAGCAGCTCTCTCAATTTAATGTTCCTGACTATGGATTGAGCTTTAAACCTCTGTGTAATCAGAACATTTGAAAAAAAAAAAAATAAAATCATCTCACTCTTCTGACCTAGCCATATTTGTACGCTAAAAATAACACAGTGGAAATGGGGGTATTACAAAAATAATACCTCTTTTATTTCTCGCATTCACAAGTTCTTTCACACACTCAGCTCTTGTTCTGTCCCACAGTTTCACGCCCTTCGCTAACGGCCCTGACGACACACCAGAAGAGATCTTGGCTCGCATTGGCAGTGGGAAATTTGCCCTGTCAGGAGGCAACTGGGACACGGTGTCTGATGCAGCCAAGGTCAGCTTCCCTCAGATTTTTGCTTGTTGGGATTAGGTCTGGCCAATACAGTATATAGCCCTTAAACCAAAAAAACATTTTTCCAAATATTTCTGCCTTTTGACAATATTCAGTATGGTTGTTAACATCTTTTTGCTGTTTAATTCAATAAAATTTTTATTTATTTAAGTACATACAGTACCATTCACAAAAATTGTGATGTTTTCAAATGACATTTTTTAATGCTCACTAAGGCTACCTTTACTAAATCAAAATACAGTGGAAAAACTGTGAATATTGTAAAACATTAAAACTGAAAACAAGCATTTTCTATTTGAATATATTTTAAAATGTAATTTATTCCTGTGATGCAAAGCTACATTTTCAACAGTCATTATTTCAGGCATCAGTATAACATAATTCTTCAGAAATCATTCAATATCATAATATCATTAAAAAAAAAAATCTCACTATTGTCAATGTTAAGAACAGCTGCTTCATATTTTTTTGTGAAAACCGTGATACTTTTTTTTTTAGGATTCTTTAATGAATAGAAAGCTTAAATCATCAACATAAACAATTTCCCCTGTGGACTTCAGGAGTGTAGCATCATGAAGTGTGTCGTTTTAACGGTGCATAACAAAGATCACAGTTATCATTCCCAAACTGTGTGCAGGCGGACAGAAACCCAGTCGTTCATTACAGTTGCTACTACTTGCTGCAGACACTTCAATTAAAGCCATTTAGAAGATGCTTTGGTCTATCATGGTGACAGTGCTGCACCTTTAGCTATGTGCCAGCATTATTAGCATCTTTTGAACATGCATGCCATGTACAGGATGCATTTTTATGACAAACAAATGGTTCTAACATGCTAATGAAAGCACAAGGAACATCGTTGATGTTGTTTTTGTAACCTTCTGTAATGTCCCAGTTTTACTTTTTTTAGTTGATCTTTTTTGGTGATTTTATTGGTCTTATGTAATGCTGAGACTATTGAAAACAGCTGTTTTTAATTGTAATGTTTCTATTTTATTTAATTTTTTCATATTGCGTATTTGCACCACACTGGTTTTATTTATTTATTTATTATAAATATTTTTGTTAATATGCATGTTTATTTCTGTTTCTGTTTAATTGTTTAAATATGAACGTTTATTGAAGATATCCGCTACCTTTTTTATCTATTTATTTTTAAAGTGACCTTTATGCATAAACATGAAACCTATAAACAAGTGCCACACTTTTACACTAGATTGACTGAATGATGATAAAGAAATAAAACATTTCGAATATAAACATGTGCATGCATTTTCACTTTCATGGAAATGTAAAAAAAAAAAAAAAAGAAAATGTGAAAATACAGTTTGAACTAGACTACCAAAATCTATTGTAAAGTCTTTAGATCAACAATCTTGAAAACTCAAGACATGATTTATGTACCGAGGTCATTGCTATTACACCTATAGTTATCAATCACAATCTTCTATTAGTTTATGTTAAACTTTACCAATGTTACATCATTCTCCCATTAAATGTCACAACTTGCCTATATGCGTTAGCTCATGACAGTGTATTAGGAAATCTGTTTTCCACACACAGCACTCTGCTCTGTGAAACTTACATAAGGATATTCAGAAATTATGTTTGCATGCCATACACAATTTGTAGCGGCCTCTGAAAGATTAATGATAGCAGTACAGATGAAAATAACCTTAATTTTGTATGATAAAGTGACAGTCCAGTATTTTTGTATGAATATGATCAACACCTTTTCCTAAATGAAGCTCTGATATGCAGAGAAACACATTCTGGGCTGTTTGAGGACCTTCAGCCAAACTTTATCTTTTGCTGGTGTGGCTTATTTTTTACACGTGAAAAGCTTTAAATTTGAGTTGCTGTTGATGCTGATTGTTGCCCCCCCTTCTGTTTTAACAATACCCCAAAGCAGGTATATGTCAGCGCATCAGTGCTTCTACTAGCTTACGTTAATGCTGTACATCAGGTGTACTACCCTGCCAAGCAGCAATAGCATTAGGATCTGTCCTTGCTAGAAAAGAAATGATACTTTTATGCCTTGTGTTGGCTTGTATACCAACAATTTATAAATAAACAACATAAAAAAATGTGATCAAACTGGTCTCAGTGTTATTATGTGTGGTAATGAATTGTGGACCGTGTCAGTTCTTGGAATTGATAGGGTGAAATAAATAAGAGCATTCACATATTCATAACAGTGTCCTGGAAAGGACGTTTTCAAGTGGATTTATATTTAATTACTAAATGTGGACCACAAAACCAGTAGCACGGGTATATTTGTAGCAATAGCCAAAAAATACATTGCATGGGTCAAAATGATCGATTTTTCTTTTATGCCAAAAATCATAAGGATGTTAAGTAAAGATCATGTTCCGTGAAGATATTTTGTAAATATATTCAAACTTAATTGTTGATTCGTAATATGCATTGCTAAGGACTTCATTTGGACAGCTTTAAAGTTAATTCTTCAGTATTTGGAATTGTTTTTTTTTTGTTTTTTTGGCACCCTCAGATTCCAGATGTTCATATATATCTCAGCCAAATATTGTCCTATCCTAACAGACCATACATCAGTGGAAAGCTTATTTATTCAGTTTTTAGATGATGTATACATCTCAGTTTCGAAAAATTGACCCTTATGTCTGGTTTTGTGGTAAAGGGTCACAAATACTCCTTTGCAAAAATAGGGATTTGGGATGCGTCTCTCATATAAAGAATATATAAGAGCAATCAAGAGGGTCTGGCTGCAGACATGCACGTGCATCCCAATGTGCATCCACCCTATCTGCCCTAAATAGAATTGAAAATGACTAATATCACATAGAATTTAGCATGGATAGCGTGCACATTGGGACGCAGGCTATGTCTGCAGCCAGACTACCCTTCATAACTAGCACGTCTTTGTGCGTCAGAATTTTATTATTTTTTATTATTATTATTACAAAACTTGTAGAAACATACAGAAACAGGGAAGCGAGACATGACTATATTCCAACAAAAAAGCAATTATAAAAATAAGAACAGAAAACAAATATTCTGGATTTGCATGTGAATTTAATTATTATCGATACATAAAAGTGCAAAAATGAATGCGTCAGAATTTGACCGTTACTTTAAAAACAGTATCACGTCACATCTGCATTTTCGCAATGCCTACGTCAGGATTGGCTATCGAGTTTTAAAGCCGTCTGTGATTGGTCAGTTTAGGGGTCACTCATGTTCGTACGCCCAACCATTGCGTTCAGCGGTGAGATGAAGGGCGGGGCTTATCGGAACACGGGTGGGGAAAAGTAGCGTCTGGTTTGTGTGTCCATGCTGAACTTCGAGGAAGTGTTGAATCATTTCACCGGAGCACTGTTTCACCTGCCGAGCAACGATGGACAAGTTGCGTCGTGTATTAAGTGGAGGAGAGGAGAATGAAGAAGTGGGACTTACAGCACAGGTATATAAGGAGAACCTGTGTTTATTTGCAGTGTGTCTTCGTCTGTAATTGACAGGCCCTGTGGAGTTTATGAAGTACTGTAAATTCACAGTGGTGGTATTTTAACTTACTTTTGATTTTTACAAAAGTGCTATGATACAGCAGATGTTAATGCCATGGTAATAGAAGAATACCATATTTATACAGCGTGGTACTCCAGTGTCCTTTAAAGAATACTATGCTAGTATGTTATTACCATCATGACAGTGTTACTTTTAAATAATAACAACAACAACAACAACAACAACATATCACAAACCATAGTATTACCATGGTATTTTTTAGTCAGTGTAGTGTTGCTCTATTTTGAACCGTACTGATATTCGATCTAGTCTGTCTTCTGTTTGTTTGCAAATAATCATGTGATAATGATATTTGTTAACATTGCTGATTTTACATGCTTCCTGAGGGGAAGGATCACGTGAGGTAAGGTCATGACCTCCTGATGTTGTTTAGTTTCTGCAAGCCAATCTGAAAAGTCTGAAACTGGGCTTGAAACACTGTTGCAGACCTTACTTGTTTTTCCATTTAAAGTAACATTAAATGTTTTACATGCAGTAAGGTTAATATTATGAGGTATCACAGTTTATTTGATCCATTTAAAGGGGTCATATGATGCGATTTCAAGTTTTCCTTTCTCTTTGGAGTGTTACAAGCTCTTGGTGCATAAAGAAGATCTGTAAAGTTGCAAAGACTAAAGTCTCAAATCCAAAGAGATATTCTTTATAAAAGTTAAGAGTCAGCCACATCCCCCTAAAATGGCTCGTTCTAACACCCCCCCCACATGTCTACCTCACTATGTGGGAAGATTTGCATAACGCCGCCCAAATGTTCACGCAAAGAAAGAAGGCATAACTTTTTTTCTCGCTGTAGTATTGTTGCTGCCGCCATGTCCTGAAGACGCTGTGTGCTTGGTTGTGAAAGCGAAACTACTTTGTTTGGTCTTCCAAAAGAGGACGATATCCGCTTCGTCATGCCTAGAGCTGATCTGTGCTGGTCGCTGAGGGAATACATCAACTTTCACCGTGGACGAAGCGGAGTCCAGCCCGGGGTCCGTCACATGTGGTTGCAGCTGTTTCGTCTGATCCGCCGGCCGCGCTGTTCTCGACCCCGCCGCCTCAGCTCACGCTAGCCCGGCCTCAGTGCACGCCAAGCCGGGGCTTCCCCTCACACTAGGCCGCTGTGTTTTTCATTGTGAAAGCAAAACTACTTTGTTTGGTCTTCCAAAAGAGGATACGACTACAAATCAGTGGTATTTACAACACTGTTCCAGAACAGTTTAACCCGTTTCAGAAAGGCGGGGCATAGAGGAGAAACAATAATGTACAGGATGTGGAAAATAATGTGTTTTTTTTTTTTTTTACTTTAAACCGCATAAACACATTTCATTACACCAAATACACAAAATAATGTTCTTTTTAGCAACATCATATGACCCCTTTAAGATTCATCATACTTAAAAATCATACCTTGAGCTCTACAGTGCGGCTGTGATGTGTGTTTTTTTTAGTTATATACACATTTATTCCTCTCTAAAGTACTGACCATTCTGTTAATCTTAACAGTTTATGATGTGATGCATGCATGGTCGTCATGTGACGTTTTATAGGGAAAAGCAAGAACAATAGTGCATTTTCTTCCTGTGGGTCTGTGCATATATAAATCAGAGGTATTTTAATGAATCAGAAGCAGTCATAAGCAAGCTAAAAAAGCATGAACTCTTGGTCTTTGTTCGGGGGGCATTATGAACCATGTGACATCCTGTGATTCTTCTCTTATAGATCATGGACGGCACAACACTCAGTTTCGGCACACGGGTGAAGTGGTTTGTCATTTGTTTCGCTGGAGGAGTCCTGTGCTCAATACTTGTGAGTTAACTTTCCTCATTATTTCCCCATTAAGGTTTTATCTGTCCAACAATTTGCAGCCACACTGGCCTAGTTGATTTCTAAGACTCATAGTCATTTGTTGTTACGTTACTCTTTAAGGAATAGTTAACCCCAGAGCTGTAACTACCATAGACATTGAGGGAGACAAGTACCCCTCAATTATAAGTCAAGTCAAGTCACCTTTATTTATATAGCGCTTTTAACAATACAGATTGTGACAAAGCAACTGAACAGCATTAATTAGGAAAATAGTGTCAATAATGCAAAATGACAATAGTAAACACTCATTTTTCAGTTAAAGACAGTTCATCATTGAATTCAGTGATGTCAACATCCAGCTCAGTTTAAATAGTATCTGTGCAATTATGTCAACGATAACGCTGGAAATGAAGTAAATGATCCCAGAATTTTACTGAAGTGGACTATTCCTTTTAAAGTATAACTCATGTTTTCCCTGTCTACTACCTTTCATGTAACAGCTTATGACGGTCAGTAGTGAAGGGTTTGGGACTGTGAACTTTCTTATGTTGTTATTATAATTATAAGAAATGACCAAAATGTTTCCTCCAATTTGATGTTTGACAATAATTGACAAAAGTTACATTGTGTTACACAGTGCAACACATGTGAAACCATGGTCACAGATGGGTGAATTGGGTGCCACCCTGTACTTCTTCGCCCTGCCAATTGCTTTCAGTTGGTGTGACAACACATTACTGATAACACTTACAGCAGCAACCATAAACTACGCATGCAGACTGCTGTACATAATACCAGGGAGGATTTTTTTTTTAACTATAATGTCTGTGTGAATCAGAAATCCACAAAAAATCACATTGACACCAGTTTCTGGACTGGCCACTGCATGCAAACATGGTTAAACAAGTTAGTTGTAATAAAAGCTCTAGCTTCATTTAGCATACCACTTTATGAATGTGATATTTTTGTTATCGCATGCAACAACATTCATACAGTTTAAAATGTGATTACATTCCAAACACTATTTGGGGCCTTTTTATGCAGCCCAAAAGCTTTGGAACACCACTAGGTGGCAGGACTGCTTAATTTGTTCATGTACAAACTTTGAATTTGATAGTGGATTAATCAAAATGGTTTTCTTTTAGCACAGTCGGGTTGTTTCAGAGAAATGTTTGAAAATTGACTAACAAGCCTTATTCTTTGGAACACCACTAGGTGGCAGGACTGCTTAATTTGTTCATGTACAAACTTTGAATTTGATAGTGGATTAATCAAAATGGTTTTCTTTTAGCACAGTCAGGTTGTTTCAGAGAAATGTTTGAAAATTGACTAACAAGCCTTATTACATCTGAAACAGGGAACTGCACTCCTCTTCTTGCCCAAGGCTGGTGTTAATTTGTTTGCTGTATTCTACACCCTTGGAAATATTGCAGCGATTTCAAGGTAAGTGTAATTATGGCTGGGTTGTGGGCATGCATGCAAATGGAACAGTCTCTTAAATGTTGATTCAGTGTCATTATTCTGTATGTGTGATTAGATTTACTGTATGTTAAGTGCTTTATAGTTTTGACATTTTCTACAGATATGAAACGGGTAAGAGGCACAAATCCCATATTTTTATTGGTATGCTACAGAAAATGTTATCAAACATAAAATCAATAATTAGTCAAAAGAACATTTTGCAGATGGAAAATATTAGTATTGTCACCTGGTCGGCATGCAGGCTTAACCATTCGACCCAGCTACCAAAATTATTGTAGCAATCACATATTTTCTTTGATTTAATATACATTTATCAGTGACTACAACATTTAGTCTCAAACTGGTCAACCCCTATTGATTATTTAATTTTTGCTAAATCTAGAAACCTGTTATCCCTATTTTTCCTGCATACATACAGTAAAAAAAAATTTGCAATGAAAAAAAACCAACAACAACAGTCAGCTGACATTTGCTACACAATATATATATATATAATCTTCGAAATGCAACTGTACGGCATGAAAATATTAAAATATTCTAAACATTAACGCAAAAAATGAAACTATATTATCACCCAGCTCTTTATTTAAAGTTGGTCACAGCATGTAAATGCTGTAAACATGCATACATCCACATGAATGCTGTATACTTGCCGCCCTAGGGCGATAAAAGCAAATCTCAACTGCTTGTATCATTGCAAACTGTAAACTGTATTAGAATATTTTGTAAATGATATTAGATCCCAGCTCTAATCTTCGAAATGCAACTGTACGGCATGAAAATATTAAAATATTCTAAACATTAACATCATGATTTTCTGTAACGCTGCTTTGAAACGGTATGTATTGTGAAAAGCACTATATAAATAAATTTTACTTTGACATTTGGGCGTTGTTGTACATTTTACATTTTATGCATTTGGCAGACAGTGCATTCAAAGAATCTGAAATTATCTGTTTAATGATTTGTTTGCATTGCCCAGATCAGATATAGAAGCTGTAATTGTTTTCATATTCTGTGAGCAGAAGACCAAATCATCAACTGCCACTCACTCAATACAGTTGTCCTTAATATTGACTTGGACATCAGAAATTAGTTAAAGGGGTCCTATGATACTTTTTTAAAGATTATTATTTTGTGTATTTGGTGTAACAGAATATGTTGACATTCTTTAATGTTCAAAAAACACATTATTTTTCAAATACTGTACATTATTGTAGGTCCTCTATGCCCCGCCTCTCTCAAACGCTTCGTTTTCTACAAAGTCCCTCCTTCCGACAAGCGCAGTCTGCTCTGATTGGCCAGCTGACCCAGTGCATTGTGATTGGCCGAACACCGCAAGCACTCGTCAGAAATGTAGCGCCCCTTACCATAATCGCGAGCTTCATCTTTCAAAATAAATGTAAAGACAGAGCCCGAAAGGGGAACAGAGTCTCGTGACAGACATAGTGATGAATATGTGTTTGCAGTACACAAGCCACGGTTAAGACAGCTGACTCCACTGTGATGTGTCTCGCTCTCTCTCTCTCTCTCGCTCTCGCTCTCACTCTCGCGCGCACACACTGCGTGATGAGCCCTGACCCCTAGTTACAGTTTGAGAATGAACAATTGCCAAACAAAGTTCATCAAGGCCAGATGATTCCTGCTGGTCGTGATAGTTCACACCATGGCTGCTGTCAGCAGTTTTAATGTCATGAATAATATTACAAAAATCTTATATAAAAAATGTATTTTCCCCCCTTTGATTTTGGGATGAAATACTACCTGATGAAGTGTAATGTAGCTAAAATTCCAGAAAAGCATGACATTGCAGTCACTTATTTCCAATCATGATGCAGGAACCAGGAAGAGACCCAGTTAGTAACCAGGGCAGTGAGATGGAAAAGTGACCCAGAAGAATTCCCCTGGCATTCTCCCAGACTGCACCTCTGCATATCCGGAGACCGCTTTTTACTTTGAAGAACTCAACCCTGTGAAAAATCATTAAACTGAGCCATTCGGCCACGTCAGTAAAGATCCGATCAGGTTTGATCAGTAACCAGACTCTGTCCTTAATCACAGACTTGTCCTGACAGAGCTACAGAGGTGAAGTCTTTAGAGTGAAGGGTCATGCTGTCTGGGTTACCTGCTTTATATTCACACAACATTGGTTCTGGGCATGGTAGCATTTTGGAAACCTACTGGCATGACATATTAGCAGGTACTAGCATCAGGAAACCTCATTTAAAGGCCGTGACCCAGACTGAAGAGATGATGCAGATCATGCTGTTTATTTACAACTCTGCATGTACATTTAGAAGACCTGTTTTTGCTATATAGTAATGAGAATGATGTTTTGAGTTTTTTGGGGTATTTTGTATTTGGATCAGATTTTTGTGTGTGTGTGTGTGTGTGAAAAAAAATAGGTTGAATTTTCTTGAAGAAAAATATAATTTCTTATTTCTTTTGAAAAATGATCTGAGCATATTCTTGACTTGTGAATTCAGATTGTTCATGTCTTGGTCTTTGTTTTTGGCGTTTAGCTTGAAGTAACTCATACGGTAGAGGACAAGCAAGCGAGCAAGCCCTCTTTTCTTCTGTAGACTGTTAGACGGCGTTTGAAAATGTCAGATTATGGCCGCCCTCGATGCCTGCTCTCGTAGGAGAGAGGATGACATCAGGGCTGGCTCATGCATTAGTGTTTCTGTGATCTAATGAGTGTCCTGGTTAAGGTTGCTTGAGTAATGCAGGGGAGATGGGTTCAGCCCCCTGGGACCTGAGCACAGACCATCTACTCTCAGTGAGTGTGGAGTCCGTCTGCGTCATTGTGATACTAACTGATTTTGCTGATGTCTCACAGCATAAATTAATTTAAAAAAAAAAAAGCTATATAGATTCAGGAATTATGCTAATTGGTGCCTTTGGTGTCTTCCTGTCACTCAAGTGAAAATCAATACAGTTTTGCTTTCGTGAGGTCAGGAGATTTAAAATTTGTAGCTACTACCAAGAGCTTGGTAATATTTGTGATGATTTTGCTTGTGATGACGTTAAGGAACCTCATAATAATTTTAATTTGCCTGTTTAGTTTCCTAGACATCAGATTATCCTCCATTGACAGATTTTTTTTTTTAATAGCGTCTATTTAGTTCATTTTAGTCAGTCGGTCTGAACTCTATTTCAGCGATTAGATTGCTATTCAAAAAATCTGATTCAAAGTAAATATGATTAAATTATTAAATCTCATTATTTCTCATGTTTATAGTTTTTCTAAATCACTTTGGCTTTTTTCAGTTTTTTTCTCAAAACAGTACGTTCAGATCTCTGAACAATGAATTACTTGTTCACATCAGATTTGAATTTCTTATTTAGTCAAATTGCATGTGTTTTGGAAAGTACAATTAAGTGCAAAACAGTACAACTGCCTACAATTTTCACAATAACTCATGCCCTGTCCATATGAATGTGGTTATTTTTAAGACCGCAGCTTTTTCTACGCGGTTTGGCTGTTCGTCCACACGCAAACACAGCACCAGGTCACTGAAACCGAACAGATTTTCAAAAACTCCGGTTGCAGTGTTATCGTGTAGACAGCGGAACCAGAGTTTTTGGCTTGTGACAGCGGAGCTTGCGCTGTTATCTCCGCCTACTGGAGACTTTTTCAGGCTTCTGATTGGCCAACATGGCTTTACGGTTGAGATTATTTCGCCACCTGTTGGTTTGGCATGCTCTTGACAATGCTTCATAGCATGCGTTTGCGTTTTCATGTGGACGGAGATTTTTTTTAAAAACGGAAGAAGGAAAAACGCTTTTATAAAAATACCCGTGTACGTGTGGACACGGCCTCAATGCATATTGCTTGACGATCTAACCTGATGCATTAAATCTCAGTTGAATCTTATCAACTTCTGAACATTCTTTCATCATGTGAGCCGTCACATGCAAAATTATTCAATTATGAGACATACATAATGTATATTAAGTAAATATCGTGGAATGTTTTGGGTTTACATTTAACACTGCATACAACTGTGCATATTATTATAATTTTGAGTACTTTATAGTATTGTAGTATTTTACTTAGTTGACATCTGTATAGAAATAAGTTTGGAAAAAATGCATGAAAGTGGGAATATCATCAACATATTCTTTTCCTAAGTGATTAATGACTGATTAATGCACCTAATGAGCACCTTTGGTGTTTACTGTGAGTAATGGATACATGTGCCTTGTGAATTCAGCTCATTCTGTGTCTCTGTTCTTTACAGCACCTGTTTCCTGATGGGCCCATTCAAACAGCTGAAGCGAATGTTTGAGCCCACCAGACTCATAGCCACTATTATGATGCTGGTAAGAAAGCCTCTGGCCCACCACACTGCGTCAGCACTGGAGAGCTAATGAGAAAAGTCATTTTGCAAAGGCGAATTTAACCTTGTAGCAGAACAGATGACTCATTCTTATTAGATGTTCTTTTTACCTTGTCATTATATTAGATAACAAAATGTCAAACCAAGTGTATTTAAGAAAATAACAATGCACAAGCATACTTTTCAAACAAACCATTTTATAAGATGTTTTTGTCTATTATATATGTATTTATTTATTTATGAATATGTGTGAATATCTAAGCATATTTTAACATAAATTAAACAAACAGAATACTGATACAGAATAGAGAATATATATATATATATTATAGAGTTAAAATGATGCAAGAAAGACACTGTTTAGTGATACGAGACAATGAAACTAGCTTAGCTACATAGGCAACACATTACAGATATGCACATGCAGGCTAGCAGGGCAGAAGGAATGCTTCAGCCTTTTACAGTCACAAATCTGGAGGCTCTTATACAAGGCATTAAGAGATTCAAAGGACTGCTGTTGTAATCCAGAAAAATCACAGTGGCTCTGTGTGACACTTTGCCATATAATCTGTTTTTGGTCTGAATCTGTTCACACTTGCTCCAGCACAACACGATTGGAAGTTGTTGTAAGCAGACTATCAAATGATTGCTACATATTTCTGTGCAGAAGTATGATGGGCACCTTCTTATGATGCTGTTTATGATTGCAGTTCTCATTCAAGTTTCAAAATATGAGCTATTTAATTACTCTGGATTACTGCCAACTATAAAGAGAATAATAGGTGTTTGACTCACTAATATCATATTATCTGGCGTAATCCCAGATTGTTTATCTCACCAGCTGTTAATAGATTCATTGTTTCCACATTAATACAATCTCTGAAAAATCTTTTTCTATGCCATGGTTATTTGATCATGGTTTTTAACCTGTGTGTGTGCTTTTCCCCCAGCTATTCCTTGTGTTGACGTTATGTGCAGTGTTTTGGGTAAGCTTTCTTCATAACCGGTTTATTTCTGATATTTGGTTGACTGTTCACTTGAGAAAATGTAGGCTATATTGTTCATATTTTATTTCTCTTTGTTGCCTTGCAGTGGGGCAAAAGGGGTCTGGCGATCATCTTCTGCATTTTGCAATTTTTGGCTATGACATGGTAAGTGATAGACTGTCAATCATCTTAAAAAAAATATGCATTTGATTTGTTTCAGATCATAAAAAATGATTATTGTTTGAAACAAATCTTTTTTATCTCTTTGTTAAAATGTTTATATTACTCGTCTCAGAGACTTCAGTTTTGTAGTTTGTTTATGTTTATAAAACGGATAGTTCCGGTCCTTGATTCTGATTGGCTGAGCCACGTTCGAAGCTGTTGTAAATTACTCTATAAACACACACCTTGGTTTACGTCTGTGTGTTGCTTGGCAACCACTTTGTTGCAACCACAACTGTTTCTGAGGAACTACATTGATTGGTGGAAGAATAATGTTTTTATTAATATCATTACACTTTATTTGCTCTGTTTTATTCTGTGAAACCTTACTACGTATATGGAATAACCGTTTTATAAAAGCGATAAGCCCCGTGAAGCCGTGGTTTACAGTGAATTTATAACAGCTAAGGGGGTTTTAGCCCCTAAAACAACGCCCCTTAGCTGTTATAAATTCACTGTAAACCACGGCTTCTTCGGACTTATTGCTTTATTAGTAGATTACATGTTAAAGATGGTTTCTGAAAGATTTTAAAGTATCTTTTTGTACTGGTAGTGTAATTGAAAGTAACTAGAAAAGGTTTTGTTTTTCAAAATAAACCAGCTTGCCAAAGCCTCAAATTAAAATTAAAAATAAAATAAAATAAAAATATTAAATAAATAAGCGAATGAATGAATGAACGCATGACGTTTGAATGAAACATCGTACATGGATGGGTGGATAAAATTTAATTGAAAGTATGGAATTTTACGATTTTTGTTACTCCATTGTTCAGAAAAACGAATCATCTCCTCTATAATTACAGATTCTCTGATTTTTTTATTTATTTATGTTCTTTCAAAAATCAGTTTATGAATTAATACATTTAAATATAATTGTTTTAGTTATAATTGATTCTGCGCAAATCACACGTTTCATTTATTTTGGCATTTGAATGTGACAATACGGTCATATGCAGTGGCCTAGCCTGCTGACCTTTCATCTAAAGATAAAGTTTCATTGTACCGGTGATATCATGATTTTAGTGTTTGTGTATCTGTATGAGTGTTTCATGAAGTTTATCTTGGAATTTAACTACTAGGCTAAATCACGCTAGCAGCTAAAGACCTGAGCACGTTCTGTAGTGCTGTGCCCAGGGTACCTAAAACAAATTAGCAGCTTGTTCTGCTCTTCCCTGGAACCCTGCTGCATGAGCATCTACTAGTGTAGGCTGATCAGCTGTTAATTAAACCATGCGTGCAATTTGTCATCAATGTCTGGCTGCAGGTTTAGAGGCAGGTGGTTAAGTCCTTGGCAAGGTGAGAAAGTGGGCCAAAAATAGGCGCGTGATCGGAATGAGTGATGTGACTAATGAGATGAGTGATTATATACTGTAGGTAGAATATTGTAGGTGTAACTGATGGAAGATGTTGATCATTAAGAATAAAGTTAGACATTCTGTCAAGAAACTAACAAGAAAAAAATGCAAGCATTTTATAATTATTTTGCAGGCAAAAAAAAAGCTTTTTATTGTCAGCAGTGTAGCGATGTATGAAGCACAGTTCGCACAAAACCCAAACCAGTCAGCTTTCTGTAGGTCATTGCAGTGAATCCATGTGAACAACTTTGAACTTGTGAACCTGTTGACTGTGGAAATCTTTTGTCCTTAAGCGAAATTCCCAATCATGTTGATGCTATTGAAATCACTGGATTTTGCTTGGAAAAATTTGCAAAATAACGGAGAGTGTGACCATACCTTTAGGTTTAGGGATTTGAACAAACCCAAAACGCTATTAAACTTTGGCAAGTCAAGTCACCATTATTTATATAGCGCTTATTGTGTCAAAGCAGCTTTAAGTATTAAACGGGGAAATAGTGTGTCGAAATAGTGTCGTTATGGAATGTAGGAGATGCTGTACCTAAAAACACACACAGTGTTAATACCTAATGTCCCATTAAAAGCTTAGCAGATTAAAAAACAAAACAATCTGAAAATAAAGGAGTAAATCCATAAGTACGTCATAGATGCCAGTTACAGCTTGCTTTTAAAGTAATGAAATGACGTAATAGTAGATGTGCTTTCCCTGTGAGTTCCAAGTGTTCAGGCTTTTATGCTCACCAATGCTACATTTATTTGACCAAAAGTACAGTTTAATAAAAAAATGAACACTCAGGGTCTTCAGTGTTCTTTGATGAATAGAAAGTTAATATATTAGAAATAGAAATATTATATATTTTAGTAATATTTTGTAATGTATAGCAAATAAATGTCACCTTTACTGTCACTTTTGATCAATTTAATGCATCCTTGCTAAATAAAAACATTGATTTACATTTCATTTCTATATAAATGAATACAATTTATGCATTTATATATAAATAAACTTATAATAAGACACAGACACATAGATAGACAGACAGATAGAAAGTACAACAATAAAGAATATACAGTCTAAAATATGTCCTAAAATAAGCCCCATGTTTCTGCTGATTAAAAAACTGATTAGGGATTCCGTTACACACAACTGACTTCAAATGAAATGCTAATGCACTGACAGCTTCTCAGAAATGTCTAGCATCAAGGAATCCTCCCTACAGATTTCCCAGTATCCTCTTCATACATGCGGTTAAAGCGGTTGCCAGAGTGACTGCTGTCAGAGGAAGGCTGGCGGTGGTCTGTGTCACAGTGTGAAGGAAGAGAATGTCCTCGCAGTGAAACTGACGGCAATTACATGGTCAATAAAATCTGGCCCATGACGTGTGAAAAACTGGGCAGCCAGGAGCACTCAAACGGCCATCCTCACACTCTCTCTTACACACACACACACACACAGTGTTTCCTCTCTGTTCCTCTGACTATCTATCATACCAGAAATGCTGTGTAAAATATAACATAACCTTCAAAGTTTAAGGCCTATTGAAACTTTTCTTGAACTTTCAGGCATAGCTTTGTCAAAGCAACATCCAAAGTATGTTTTGAATAACTTTTCTAGTTCTAACAGAGAGAAACCATGTGTGTGGAATGCATATAAAGTTGAGAGATTTAGGTTTAATGAAGCAAATAAAAATCACACAAACGCACAACATTCCTCTCTCGTCTCGTGGAGTTTGTTTCAGAGTAGTGAAGCCCTTTCAGAGCCTCGTCCACCTGGTTCTACACCTGTGTGCTGCTTGTGGCCAAGTGAAGGGGTCAGGACACGCTTAGAGGATCAGATTATTTCTGCTGCCCAGTTCCACTTAGCTGCTTTAGTGGCACGGGAATACTGCCCATCTGCCCGTCTCTCTCTACCTATCATCCTCCTGTAAGTCAAAGCATGAACAAACTTGCAGTTGAAAAAATAAATGTTGAAATGGATGTGGTTGCTAGGGTAGTTTCTCTATTATAGTCTCTAGCTACTCCTTCAGTATAGGTCTACAAATTTTTTCAACGTCCAGCAGATGAAAATCATTTGATTGCTTAGAATAGAAATCGCACAATCATCACAATTTTAAGGCATCATTTAATTTCTTGAAGACTGAATGACAGCTCTGAATGTCAGCGGAGACCATGTCAACTCGATGTGCCCCAGAGACAGATCCCCTCCGAAGACCACGTCATCTAGACGGCCATCATAACAAGACCACGGGAACAAGATGAGTCCTCTGCACAATCTGACTTTAAAGGGTTAGTTCACCCGAAAATGAAAATTCTGTCATTAATTACTCACCCTCGTGTGTTTAATAGCGTTGTGGGTTTGTTCAAATCCCTAAACCTAAAGGTATGGTCACATTTTCCGCTATTTTTCAACATAACTGGGAATTTCGCATAAGGACAAAAAAATTTCCACAGTCAACAGGTTCAAGTTGTTCACATGGATTCACCGCAATGACATACGGAAAGCTGACTGGTTTGACTTTTGTACGAACTGTGCTTCATACATCGCTACACTGCTGACAATAAAAAGCTTTTTATTTTCAGATTGTTTTGTTTTTGAATCTGCTAAGCTTTGTGTTAAAATGTGTGTTTGTGTGTTTTTAGGTACAGCATCTCCTACATTCCATTTGCACGGTAAGTAAACACCTCCTTACATGTGTTCTTCAAAATTGATTTGATTTTGACTACATTTTATTTAAAATCTTTAGTAAAATTTTGTGCATTTTATTATTATTTAGATAATGAAATATCACTGAAATATGATTTGATAAGCCATGTCGATGTTGTAAAATATGGCAATGAGAGGCAGTTCATTCCAATGGTTTTAGCACAATGAAGTGTGCAATGCTGCCTGGCAACTGTAAAAGTTCTACAGGTAAAAAAAAGTTGAACAGAAACAGTATTTACACTGTTATCATAGTCCTGCAGCTAGTTAAGTCTGATGGTGTGGCCTAGGTGGTATGGGCTCTACCTGTCATGTGCAACACCGAAGTTAACTGTATGATGAGTCAACCAAACTAGGTTAGCTCATACGCCAGTTCAAATCCCAGTTAACGTCGGTGGAAGTTAGAAGTTTGTCTCCAAATGGCAGCGTGTCGGACAGTGACACCATCTCTCTCAGTTCATGTTTGTTGGGTGGGATTGGGTTGTTTACACATGGGGAGCTGAACTGCCTGAATGAAAACATGTTGTTATTTACTCATGGCCTTACGACTGTTGGCCTTCACCATATGGCACTAATACCCTGCTGGAGCGCCGCTCTCCCGGTGCCATGCAGACGGCTGCTTGTTTTTCCATTGCAATCATGAGCTCAGTAAAGTTCTTTATCTACCTTAACAAAGACGTTATTTTGCTTATCCATATCTGTTTCTTTGTTTGGGCTTATTGTGGCAACCTACACTCTCAGGAAAAAAAGCTGCCACTGGGGTGGTAACTTTCAAAAGGTATACTTAAGGTAGCTTTTAGGTACTAATATGTACCTTTACGGTACCAATATGGAAACTTTAGGTACAAAGGTGCACCTTGTGAAAAGGTATCGCAACAGTGACAGCTTTTTTTTTTTTTTTTGAGAGTATACTGAGACGAAAGAATGTATGCTCTTACCTGTTGAAAGATTGTTATATCTTGGATGGACAATGTTAGTTAAGATGCAGTTAAAGATTATTATCAATCCTTTATAAATCATTTTTATAAGCATGTATGTCATGACTCCTAAAAGGGAGTCATAAAATTAGGGAATACTGTAGTTCATCCAAACTGCAAATTCTGTCATGGTTTGCTTGCTTTCATTACTTAGTTTTTTTCGGTGGAGCACTAAAAGACGAAATTTGGAAAAATGTTTGTGCTGCTCTTTTCCATACAATGGAGTGAATAGGCTGCAAAAAGCTCCAAAACATCACTGAACTGTTAGGGGTGCTGTATGTCATCCTTTTTGACTGCACTAAAGAATAAACATCTTATAATATGTTTGTGGATATTTAGAAAACATGCCAAGTTCACATGCTTGTTTTTCCCGGAAAACGATGCTATAGCCAGTTCTACTTTAAAATTTGCGTTCCATGTTGGAATGTCTGTTTTTATATTGGTCTGTGTGATTCCACCCACTGCCAATTTACCCAATAGTATTTCAACACCCTGGGATGCCAGATGGTGGAGAAAACAGCGTATTGTAGCCATGGAATCCAGCAAACAAACTGGGTAACAGATCGCAGGTTCTACCCTAAAAATAAACTTCTATGGCATACGATACAGTATAAAGCCCCGTTCACACCAAGAATGATAATTATAAAGATAACGATATTAGCAACTACACCAGCGAACGATATCGTCTGTTTATTCTCAGCACATGCTCATCTGCCGCTTTAAATTCTCGAGCTTGTGTGTCATTGTATCATTCATCAGCTGAAAAGGATTGCAATGATACCGTTTCTCTGTGCCTTTATCATTATAATTGAAGTGTGGACTCTGCTATTCTTTAATATTGAGATCGATTTTTAGAACTATATATTTATCGTTATCTTTATAGCTATCGTCCTTGGTGTGAATGGGGCTTATGTCCTCAATATGGCAACCCACGTGAGAGTCGAGTCGGATGAGGAGGGGCGGGAGAAACAACTCTCTCCAATATTTTGTATTTGGACAATAGTGCAACTTCAGTGGAGAGGAAGATTATCAGTGTATAATGAATTTTGGTCTGATTATCAAAAAAAAAAAGAAAAGAGCAGCATGGACATTCTACAAAATTTCCTATTTTGTGTTCCAATTAATGCCATGAGAGTGAGTAAATTACAACAGAAAGCAACAAGAAGAATAATGTGGTGTAGAAAACTGCAAGTGAAAATCGTAAAAAGGGGCGGTGCAACACATTAACGTAAAATATAGCCTGTGGTAACACTCTATAAACTCTAAACAAAAGGCATCGTAAGCAACTTACAACACACAAAGTATTCAAGGGGCTTTGACTGGAATGTCGAGCATCATTGGATTTCTAAATAGAAAATAATCTTTATAACATATTGCATCTCTTGCTGAACCTGACAACCCCCTCCTTTCCTGCCAGAGGTGCTGGTGCATGTTTCTGATGGATTCTGACAGCCTGGATGCCCCATCCCCCCAACCTTACGCCCTGCCTGCTTCAGAAAACAATTCCTCCTCAATTATTGCCTCTGTATTCCACCTGCTGCTTTACTTTCATTCGAAGACCAAACCCTTGACTCATCTTTCCATTTATCTGTAGATGCCCCTCTCACCATTGTTTCATTGATGATTGTTTTCCTAGAAATAGCCGCACCCTTTGACAAGCTCAGTAATGCTGTTGTTGAGTGGCTGGGAATCATGGGTTAGGGCTCTTTTCATTGTGTTTTTGCATGAGCAGGCTCCACGCCATGAGCTGTTTATCCCACTGATCTCTGTTTTGAACATTGGGCTGTGCACATGTTCTTTCATGAGCATGCTGCATATCCGCAATCTAATATCGTGATGATTTTAATGCGCTTTTTATTTGGCCATTAGGATTCTTAAAGACCACATCATTAGATTAGATTCACTGTTCTTTGTCTCTCGAGTATGAGAGTGTTAAGATGTTTACATAGTGATTTAAAGAGTTCACCCACATCTTGTTTGAATTCTGTATGACTTTGTTCTGTGAAACAAAAAAAGGAGTTTCTTGAGTTCTTTATTTGATGTATAATGAAAGTTTGGATCACAACAATCTTCTAAATATCTTTGTGTGTGTGTGTTTCACATTACAAATTATAGGTTCGATTCATTTCCATGTATAGTTTTGAAATGGACGATTCACTTCAGTTGATTCAAAACAATTTTTAATAAATACAGTGGTGGCCAAAATTATTAGAACACTAGTGTTTTTACCAGCTAAAAATGGTTTTAAGTCAGTTATTTATATCTCTTGCTGTAGTGTCAGTAGGAAATATCAGTTTACATTTCCAAACTTTCATTTTTGCCATTAATTGTAATAATCCATTGAGATTTTTGTTTGCACAAGGAGTCTGACAACAGCCAGTGCTCCACACGGAGATCTGATCATCATCCAGTCTGTCTGGAATGACATGAAGAAACAGAATAAACTGAGACAGACTAAATCCAGAAGAACTGTGGCAATGTCTCCAAGACACTTCAAGAGACCTACCTCTCAATCTAAGAATCAAAGGCGGGCTCAAAAGACTAGTGTCGCGACTTGCGCCCCTCCCCCGCCTGCGGGTAGGGCTCAAAAGGGGCGTAGGGTGTCAGGCGAGATTTGAGGGAGGTGATCCAGACTAGGTGTTCTCAACGCTCTCGTCTGAACCAGAGTAAAACCTGAACCATCTACTCACCTCCCCTTTTTTTGCAGCGCTATTTGGACCTGTTCTGTTTTCTGACTTTTAGAATTGACCCCTCTGCTAAGTCAGGACCTCCTGCTGTTGACCGATTACAGTGATGATTTCACTCATCGGTACTGGATCCAGGCTGGTGATAGCCCTCATCTTCGGTTTGCACACACAGCCTGGGCTTCTGCGGAAGCTTCCAGCATCAGGTCCATAGTATAACGCTGCAATCTCCGGGACCTGTGAGTCCTTCTCGCGGGCTAGTACTCTTCTGAGTACATGCTTCGTGACATGCTCTCTATCCTCTGGCCAGGGTGCGCTACTCATTTGTCACCCTGAGGGGTCTCCTGAGATTTGAGTCATTCCTTAACCATCATGCACATTCTCTGAGCTAGAGCTCCTCTCGCTGAGGCACTGAGGAGCTCAACACTCCATAGACGGTCAGGCCAGCGGGTCCTCCTTGTCACACTGCCCTTATGGTTGAACCAGTAAACGCCCCTATGCGGAGTGGGCTTGAGTACACTGCGTTCCCTGAGGTAAGATTTGTGTTTCTGCGGAAACCCCCCTTTGTATGGTTCTGCTCTGAGGAGCAGTAAGCTCTGTACGCATGAATAGTGATTGGGTCCCACTATTTCTTCAGATTCTGTCGGGTCTGGTTATATGGGACCCATGCTGCACCAGTGAACTGTATCTTATTGGGCCCTGCTGGGTTACCCCTTCTAATCTAGCGCCTCCTTCTGGTCGAGCTGAGAAGTGCTCCCCTCATTGTGAGGGTTAGCTATGAGTCGCTCCCTGTATGTGCTGTAAGGACCCACCTCAGCTTGAAAGCTGAGAGCGCTGCTCCCGAAAAACTTAGTTTGCAACGAAACTAAGTGTTAAGCCCATTTCTGTCACCTCCTTGGTCAGTTGCCTCTATGCTGGGACCCTGTCGTTCACTTTAGAAATGTGTGATCCCCTTCTAGCAGGATTCCATTTCTGATGTCCCATTTGCGATCTGTCTACTCCCATGAACGGCCTCTTGCAAGCGTGCCGCTTGCTATCTGGGCATCTGTGAGCAGATGCTTCGAATTCTGTTCTGTGAGCGTACCACAGTCACGTAGAGCCCCTAGGCTGGCTTAATACAGCCTCGGTTACCCCTTAAGCAACGGTGTTTCTAAATCCATGCTATGGTAAGTGAACATGCTGAGCTTCTGTGCGCTTTCTAAAATCCACATTGTGGTATGTGTGCACGCTAAGCTTTCTGCGCACTTTCTAAAATACTGTATGGTAAGGGTTACGCGCTGTCAGCTTTGTTCCCTTTCTCTGAGTTGG